GACTCTTACTTAAAATAGAAGTAATGCGATCGTAAAGAACTTATATTTTATCGTGGTCTAATAACTACATACATAGATAACAATCAAAGCAAAGAGGCGAGACAGAGAAAATCATGCAGCTTCCGCCAAAATAAGTCGAAGAGTATTGAGAAATTTTCATACATACATATATCAGGCCTTTTTTGTGCTGAGTCCGACTACAAATTGAATTCTATGTACTTCTGGGTGGCTGGCGTGTTTGCGATTTCGTAAAAGCGCTTAATATTATTGATTTGGTTTCTAAGAATCTAAAATTTCCGACTGAATTCTGATTTTCCGCTGCATAATTTCAACATAAAAATTATTACCAAATAAAGCTGGCATCTTTTAGAGCCAGTCAACGGAATGGGGAAAGTTGTGCTATGTAGTAGCTATTTTTATGCCAACGCTTATATTGGACATTAGAAAGAGTTGGTTCGGGCTTTACATCAAATTTATGAAACCAAATAAGTCTGTGCCATTTTGATTGGGCATATTTTGTAATTTTTCTGGTAAAGCCATGATCCAGCATTGCAGAACTTCTAATTTGAAGTAAATTTAACACCATAACGTTAGATACCGGGACAGATGATAATCTATACTTCGTGCAAGGTTCGGTCCATTTTTACCTAAAACTCCTTAATTTTTTGCTGATCTGGCATTTTGTTGATGGATTACAAAACCGTTTCCGCTGATTAATTATTTGATTTGTGATTTACTCAGCCCTGTCTAGATCGGGTAGTCGTTGAATCATTTTCGTCAAGCCTAACTAGCGTGCCGTTTCCACGGGGTCGGACCAGAGGGAGAGGGGTGTTAGTTGGCATGGGTTCAGTGGGCATGTGAAGAAGTGGTTTGTGTCGTTGGGGGAAATCTCCACTTACTGGACGCAAATGTGGTATGTCGCGGTCGAGTATGGGTATGGTATGATAGTGAGCAATGTTGGGTAATAGGAAGAAGAATTTTCACTTTATCCACAAACAACTATTTTTATCCAACATTTCCACTTGTTAGCTACACTCATAAAAAAAAATCAACTACATACATTTCTCTCAACACACGATTTGGTTACTATAACCAAATAATAGTTGCATTTGCGTACCCGAAAATTATTGATATTTATTAAAAATGTAACAATTTTTGGCGTTCGCGATCGCGCCCCCAAAAAAACTTGCAATGAAGGAGAAATTAAGGGCACCACCAGATAGAAATTCTTTTCTGCGTCATAGGAATGCTTTTGACTGACAAGACGCACATAACATGGCAAGGCGGCACAATGGAAAACGTTGCCGCAAACAAAACGGCTCATTTTGAATGGCCAAAATTCAGCTGGTTTGAATTTGTTCCCTTTTTCAAATAAGAAACTTTACAAAATGTTAATTTCCTTAGTATTTTCATTAATTTTGAAATTAAACTCAATACCTCTCACTTATTATGCAGCTCTCAATGATACTAGTCGTCTAATGGGCATTATCAAAGCTATGCAGTGACTCAAAGAAGTGATCACGTGTTGATTTTTTTTCTTATTTTTCTATATAAATATTGTCGAAGCTTTAACCAAAACTCCAACAAATTTTTCATAAAAATTTCAAACTTTTAATCTGTATCTTTAAAATCCATTTCGCGTTGTTTATATAGCAAGTGCAGTTCATAAAAACTGGCGTTGATTTTTTTTTTACATTTTGTTGCGAACTGTCTTCCGCATTTTATTTCATAAGAAATTCATGCATTATGGAAAAAAGTGCAAAAATCCATCAGCAAAAAAAGAAAATTAAAAATCAATGCGATTTTTAGCCGCTTGAAACTTGCACTTCATTAGTCAAAAATTGTATGCGCTATATTCATAGCTGCCTTACCAAATTTTTCTAAAGATTCTGATCAAAAGGTTTGAAATTTAGATTAAAAAAGAAAGAGATGTATGTCCATTAGTACCTAGTTAGAGTTCTAATCCTCTATATACATACATACTTGAGAAGGAAGGATTCAAGCTTCGCTAATTGACAAATAGTTCACAGAGGCTCGAATTGAAGACCTAGGGTTAACTCAAATTCGGCACAGTTTATTTCATTTTAGAAAATTCGGAAAGAATCAGATGAGATCTACAATTCAGAATACTCTGAAAAAATGGTTTGCAGGGTTATTGAATATATCGCTTCGTTTAATAATAGTATATAGAATTATTTCAAAATTTTAATTTTGTGGAACAACACAATCAAAGTTTGGACAATTCATACAGTTGGTCAGAGTTGTGAAAAATGCATTAATTTTTGAAATTTAATGCAAATAAAAATTTCAATGCATTAATTCTAAAAAATTTATAATTCTAATGAAATTTGTACACTTTAAATTATTCAAACTAGTGATAATGAAAAATTTTAATGCATTAAATTTTTGAATAATTTTGTTCGTTTGCATTATCAAAAACCATAATTTATTAAAAACACCCTTCTCAGAATTTGGTTGAATAACGCCCCATCTCAAACGAAAATACATTAAAAATAAGCTGAGATAGGGAGTTCTTCAACCGAATTCTGAGATAGGGCGTTTTTCAATCAAATTCTGGAGTAGGGCGTTCTTGAAAAATTTTCTGAGATAGGGTGTTTTCGAATTGGCTGCCGAGATAGATCGATCTTTCACTCAGCCATCGATATAATCCCATAGTAAAAATTAATACATACATATCTTGATCTAGTCAGATATAGTAATCGAAAAAGCTATGAAATTTTGCACAATATAGAAGACGAGGTAACGGTGGTTTCTGCATAACTAATATAATGTATTTCTTATGAGTTCTCGCTTATATTACTGCCAGCTATGTAATCAGCATTCTAATGTATTCAAAAAGTTCCAAACATTTCATATTAAAATACAATCATTTTTCGATACTAGGTAATGCAAAATTGAATGCCCCACTTTTCTTAGGACAACGCCCTGGGTGAAAAAATGCATTTCCCAATGTGAAACGGATTGTTTTACTGATTATTTTTTCGATTAGTATAAATTACATTTTCCCACTAAGCAACTAAACAATTTTATTTTTTAGATTTAGATACTGCATATTAAAGTAAATGAGCAATTTGGTTTTGATTCAAAAAAACTAAAACCACATTGCTTTTCAAAATAAATTTTTTAAATATGTAAGTATGCACATTAGGGTGGTCCTTAAAAATAAAATGAGCGATTTTTTTTAGTCTCACCCCTTTAATCGGTAATAACACAGTCACATCTATTACATACAAATTTTAGTCCCGATTGGAGACGGTTAAGGTGTGTCGCACAGGGGCCAAAGTTCAGATTCCTCTATAGACTCAAAAAATTAAAATGAATTTTTTTTCCAACTCGCACCCAAAATCGATACAACCGTAGTCGAATTTGTATGTGATATCTTCGACTATAGTAGTATCGATTTTGGGTATTAGATGAAAACAATAATAATTTAAATTTTTTGAGTCTCCATAGACGAATCTGAACTTTGCCCCCTGTGCGACGCGCCTTAACCGTCTCCAATCGGGACCAACATTTATATGTGATATCTTCGACTATAGTAGCATCGACGTAGGGGTTGAGGCTTGGGAAGTCTGATATAAAAATGTGCTTCCTACATTTGAGGACCACCCTAATGTACATACATATGTATGTATGAAAGTATGTTTAGAAAAAATTCCAAATATTCAAAAAGTGCAACTTGTCGCCTTTTGCCGAATTAAAAACTTACGGTGACATTTGAAGTAAAATATTGCAAAAATGGCATTCCTAATTTTACCCCTTGCACTTACGAATAAGTCTACCAGATCCTTTTTCCTGCTACACCCTTAATTGTACGCATGTATGTGGGCAACCTTTTCAACGGATTGGTTGCAAATCGCCTTAAACTAGAATTCGTAAAGATCTCAACCGATTTTTTGCCCAATTTTCTGAAATGAAATAAACTGTGCACACTTCGATTCCTTTACGAAATTTCGGAGGAAAATCGGTAAAGCAATGAAAATAATACTGCTATGTGAAGAATTTGTTGCAGAATTTGTTCAGATTTTTTTCAGAATTTTTTATACTTTTCGTACAGAAATTTCTTTACAAGTTCGTTTCAACCACTTCATATAAATTTCTTTGAAGATTCGTAAAAAAATCGTAACAGAAATGAGATACTCCTAAAGATTTCGGGAATTTTGGTGTGCGGGAAATTTCCATTTTTTATTTTCAGCTATTAAGAATTGTGCAAATCCTGGTATTGCATATTTCACGGGGCAGTAGTATGAGATGGTAACAAAATTTCCCGGTTACAAGAGTACACAGAATTCGAAAAGGGTTTAAAAATTGACAGGAACTTTATTTACCGGTTACAAACTTTTTATTACCAACGCAGAATGGACCTGTAAGTGTCATCAAAAAATACCCTTGCGGCTTAAAGAATAAACGGAATGGCGCATTATATTAAAGCCAGCCTCCTGACTTATTTAAGCTACTATTCCATATTACCATAGTTATATATTAGCATCGACAAAGGTTTTCAAACACAATCTAATCCACAATAAAAAAATTTAAAGAGTAGAATAGTTGGATATAAAAACACAGCCGGTGGGAAATGCATGAATTTACATGCGGTAAAATTTTCTTATCTATATTTTTTTCAGAGAGGTTGAATTGGACTCGTCACTATACCCGCAGCATTGACGCTCGCTATCTACCAATGGCTAATGAAAAACTTCTTCTTGCAAATAAAGCTTTTTTTAAGTCTTGCTTAGTCAGTTGCCTTACTAACTACTTCACAATCAACCAATTGTAAGACTCGCAACGAAGAACTTTTTATTTAAAGATTTCTTGTGTCGGACCATGCTTCGAAACCGTTGCCCACTTGCCAATTAATTACTGAAAGCTAACATTTTTCATGTGTTGATTGGCTCTTTACTTCCTTTAATGTTTATTTTTGATTCAGTCTTAAAAGCTTAAAATGAATAATAAATACTTAGTTGGTATTGATTGCGTCATCACAGGCCTTCCTGGTACAGATCTTCAGTTGCACGGGTGACGCGGCTATTCTCCGAACTGGTGGCCTGCTTGGGTGGAGTTTTTGGTGCGCTAGCTTCTTCGTGCGCTGCTGGTGATTTTTCTATTCCGACCGAGCGCTTAGAAATCATATAATAATATTTGCCATTACTGTTGGACTCTAGTTCATTGGGCTTATGATGAATGCTGACCGTAGTGGGTGTGGTGGGATATATGCCATTATTGTGGTAAGAAGATGAGCCGCCATAGTAATAATTCGAGGAAATGTATGGCTTTGAGTATTGTTGGTATTCATGCTGCTCTGGCTGATCGTGTAGTGATGTTTCTTGGTATTGTGTTTGTTGCATTTGCACTGGATATTGTGATTGCTGGTGGGGTTGGTAGAAATTTGTCTGCTGTAGGTGTTGTTGTGATTGGAGTTTATTTTGAGCCTGCTGTAGGTGTTGTTGAAGGTAGTGTTGCTGTTGTTCATATGTCATTTGTGGGTATGAATATTGAGTGTACTGTACATTGTCAACTCTGTTGTCAGTATGTGCTGGCTCCTCTGCTGGGTGCGGTAATGTGGCTTGTGTTTGCGGGTGTGTGTGTCTTTCTGTTTGTTTGTGTGTATTTGTTTGTGTATGTGAGTGTGTGTGTGTTTCTGTTTGTGAGTGTGCGCGTGTTTCTGTTTGTGAGTGTGCGTGTGTTTCTGTTGGTGAGTGTGCGTGTGTTTCTGTTGATGAGTGTGTATTTGTTTGTCTGTTGTCTGTGTAATCGTCTGGGTCCGCAAAGGCAGTAGGCTCACTATGATAGATTACCGGCGGTATCTTCACCACCACAGCCGTATCGCTCGTTTCCAGTTCGATTAATTTTTTTGATTCAGGCAAATTTACGACGATAGGTGTCTCCTCAATCGGCTCATTCGTCGTTGCCGTGTTTTCTAATAAGGTACTATTTTTTGTTTGTGTTGTTGTATTAGCTTTCGGCTCGTATTTTAAGTTAATATGTTGAAATTTCGCATACTTTTTCAAGTCCACTTTGTACGGGGCTTCGGTGTAGCTTTGGTCCTCATTAATAATATATGCTTCTGAAGTGGATTCTACCAGACCCCCCGTCTCCCCAGTTGTGGTAGCGCTCTTAGGCGTTGCAGCAATTTCTTCCGGGATCTGAGTCTTTGGTGCAGGTCTCGATTTTCGCCGCATCTTTCCTGACTTCTTACTTTCGCCTTTCGTCTTGCTTTTACTTTTTTTCTCAACTTTTATGTCATCGGGGGTGGGTAAACTCACTTCGTTTTCTAGCACTAGATCGTTTGTGGGTTCCTCTTGCACTTTGTAAGCGGATCCATTTTCGCTCATATTAAAGACACCATTACATTGCTCTTCACCGGCCACCTGCAAGTGTATGGCATTCTTGAAGTCATCTCCTAGGTGTTCCAACCAAAAGCTCTCATCCACATCGCCCAAGGTATAGTAACGCGTTGTCTGAGCGGTATCACCTTGGAAGAATTCGCCTTGTTGCTGCGCCACATCAACAAAGTTATACTTATCATCGCTGCTTTTGTATGATGTAGAGGGTTTCTCCGTGCTTACACTCAAAGCCGTGGTCTAGATTGAAGAATTTTACAACAGGTAAGTTATGTTTTTTTTTTTGTTTTTGTTTTCAATCACACCTTAATATAAATATTTCATATTTGCAGTTGCACACTTACATGTCGCACCAGCAGAAACGCCAAAACTATGCTGAACCGCCACGCCCGTTCCCACCGCATAGCAGTCATATTTGCTTTCTCTTTTGCCGGAGCAGAAAAATGCAACAACAATGATTTTCGCTCAGTACAATCTCATATTCCCGACTGATCCAAATCGCTATCAGGTATTGTCTTAAATATCTGAATGGATTGCATCTCAAATATAGCAATTGCGTTTAGTTTTCTCCACGATTATGTATTTTTCGTTTTTAGCTTTCTTTCTTCAATTATTTCATTTTACCTCGGCAGACGTGCTCATGATGCGTTTTATGTTGCAGTGCTATTATTTTAGTCACAATTATTATTGTTTTAAAATTGTTGAACTGTTCTGGCTTGTAAATCTAGTATTTTTACTCTTCCGTAAATTTCAGACACAAAGGCCTTGAGTGGCAATGTACATAAAATTGTGTTGTGGCTAAGCTTAGTGCAATAGTTGAAAAAAATGCAACGCAGAGTTTTATTTATTTAAAAAAGTGTTAACTATACGGATCGATAGAATGCGAGAGCTTCCGCATAAAGGCATTATTTTTCGAAAATTATATACATATTTTATTTTCATTTCTCAGTCGACCAAATTTTGACTTTTTCTGCAACAGAATCACCATTATATATGTTTGAAAGAGTACAATTTGATGAAAATGTTCGCTGGTAAATGTTATGGCTCAGCACGTCTCAGTTTTATTTCATTTCCATACAATAGTTAGGGAGTATTTGTAATGCAAGCAAAAACCCTCGAATAGCTAGCGTATTCATGGCTCAGAAAAAGCAGTTTGTTATAAAAAATTGAAGACATTCTAGCCTACACTACAAGCCATCTGGCCCACATTTTTTTTGTTTTAATTGTACAATTTCTTATTTTTTGTTTTGAATTTGTACTTATTTATTTCTTTTCTAAATAGAGGCATAATGAATGATTTGTCCTTAGACAAAAATTAAAAAAAAAAATCAATTCTATGAAAAAGGTTTCAAAGATTTGCTAATTTAGAGACCAAATAATTTGAAAAAAAAATATAATAATTAAAAGAGCTGATCTACTGGTACCACCTGTTCAAAGTGCCTTGGTTTAATCTTGTAATGTTTATATAATGGAATTCACTACTCCCGAAAATCAAAATAATTATCTGAATTTAATTCTTAGTAACCGAAAACCGTTTTTTACTCAAATCCAATTGCAGATTCAACGGTACATAAAAAAAGAAAAAAATCCTAGCACATGTTTACTGATTTAAATAAATTTTCGCTGACATTTTAGTAAATTTTTAAAAGAATTACAAATATTACAAATTCTTAGGACAAATCATTCATTGTGATTTATTTTGGAAAGAATTTCCGTCATCTCTTATCAAGTTGTGCCATCTTCAGTGTCATTTTTTGTTCGAAATAAATAAATAAAAATAAATAAAAAATTTAGAAATTGTACAATTAAAAAGAAAAGAAATGTGGACCATGGAGTGTCCCCGATGGCTTGGAATGTCTTAAATTTTCCATAACAAACTGCTTTTTCAGAGACATTAATGCGCTAGCTATTCGAGGTTTTTTGCTTGTATTACAAATACTCCCTAACTATCGTATGGAAATGTCTATTTATCTTTCGTTTATGTTAAGAAAGTAATTTTTCACGTCCAAGTTCATTTTTAAAAACTTGTGCAATAGGGATGGTATAATTAAATAATAACAAAGAAAGTAATTTATTCAGGTACAGGTTTGTTTTTTTTACCTTCCTTTTATTAGCTTGGGATGTAAATATGTAATAAAGATGCAGCGATTTTCATTCTCAAGTTGTATACCTGATGACAGCACGAATGGGAATTGCTTTGAATCTTCCATTCTTAAAGTAATCTTATGATAGTACGCATGAAAATTATAATAGCGAGTTTAGTTTTTTAAACTATAATTTTATTTAGAAACTTAGTTATTTCACTCGCATATGGAAAAAGAAGTTTCCTACTTAGAAGTTTCCAATTTTTTTGTTTAAAGTTGCTTTTTAATGAGGACAAACTAAAAAAAAAAATATTTATATATACAGATATTCTGCCTTATCCTGAGCTTCGCCTGAAAAAAAAATTCACCCGAAAATTTGACATCCGCCCATAATAAAAACATGGAAACCAAAGGTGAAAAGTGAACCGGTTCGGGGAAAATGAAACTCATGATAAGGCTGATTGTGAATGTGCACTTGGGTATCAATTTTTTTCTAAATTTTTTATTTAAAAATTACAATAATGAGCACATCGACGGCTGAGTGGAAGATCGACCAACATATCTCAACAGCCGGTTAAAAAACGCCCTATCTCAGAAAACTTTGAAGTAACGCCCTATTTTAGAATTCGATTGAAAAACGCCCTATATCAAAAAATAGAATGAAAATATGTTGAGATAAGACGTTTTTGAACCGAATTCTGAAATAGGGCGTTTTTCAATCATCATGTATTATCGAAGGCCAGTCAATCAGGCTCTCTATGGACGGCTGAGTGGAAGATCGACCTATATCGGCAGCCGGTTTTTCAAGAACGCCCTATTTCAGAATTCCGTTGAAGGTCACCCTGACTCAACAAATGGTTAAAGGATGCCCTATCTAATTCTAAATTCAACATATCGGCAGCTGAGATAGAACGTTCTTTAACCTTCTTCTTTCCGCTTTTTAAGAGGTGGCAACTCTCTTTTGACATTTTTTCGAAACAAAGCTTCACCTTTTTCAACTTACCTCCATATTTTATACTTTGACTTTTAAATACGTGTCAAGATATTTTGATATTAAAGCTTTCTCAAGCCTGATTCGTTTGCAAACAATATTGTTATACTTCGTTTAACTTGATCAAATAAGATCTTGACTTTTTAAATAGGTGGCAATCCTCTCAAAAATGTTTTCGTATTTTTTTTAATCTCGTTCTTTTCTCATCCATATTGTACAATTTGGATGAGCTTCTAACTTAAAGTAAACTTTTAAGCAGGTGGCATCCCTCTTAAAAAACATGTCATATGGGTGTGTCCATAAAAACGTAAACCGAAAATGCAAGTAAATGAGTTCAAACGGCTTTTTATAAGTGACTTCCATTTTCGTATGATTTATTTAACTCTAAAATCGTACGAATGTCACGTCCAACATCATGGAAACACCCATATGTTAATCCAAGCTATAAGCTATCTGTATGCGAAATTTTATATAAAGAAAGACAAACAAATTCCCATTCATGTATAATATTAGTAGGATTTTTTTTTAAGTTGTCAATAAAATTCCTAAACTGGTGGCAACCCTGTTTAAAAATATTTTCGAAATAGATACAGCTTTCCTAAACCCTCTCTCGTTGATGCCCACATTTAATTTTTTTTTATATAACTTGTTAATTAAATTGATTATGAAAAGCAGTTCCCTTTAAAAATATTTTTGAAACAAAGCTCTGCTAAGCCTCGCTCGTTTGATACCCATATTCAGATATTTCATTCAACTTGTTATTCAAATTGATTTTAATTTTTCCTGTAATGGTAATGTTAATCCAGATTATAACTTGTCTGCACGCAACATTTCGTCGAAATACGTCAAGCCGTTTTAGCGTGAAAGAGCAACAAACATCACATTTTGACAAGTTTTAACTTGTTATTTTTATTGTTATTTAACTCTGGTTATTTTTTTTTTTAATAAAAATATAGTTCATTCTTTAACAAAACCCCGTGTAAATTCAAGTTTCAAACTTTGTGCAGCAATTAAAAAATCAACAAACCTTCGTAAAAATTTCTAACTTTTTTAATTAGATTTCCTAGAAAGATTCTGCGTATGCAGTTTTGTAGCATTGTAGTTTTTAACCGACTTCCAAAAAAGGAGGAGGTTATCAGTTCGTCGGAATCTTTTTTTTTATTTTTTTTTTATTTTTTTTATTTTTATTTATGTTACCGCATAACTTTGGACCACGTCAACCGATTTCGATAATTCTTTTTGCATCGGAAAGGTAGTGTCTCAGAGGTGGTCCCATACTAATCTGGTTAAGATCCGATCAGTGGATCATGAGATATATATATATATATTTTTTTTTATGAGAGTTGAAGTCGGTTTTTTTTTTGCTAAAAATTACTAGTGTAGAATTCTAGTAGAACAAAATACAAGTTCCAAATGGCTAAAAATTACGGTTGATTTTTTAGAATTTTATTTTTTTTTGTCCCATTTGCTTCCATATTGCGAATACACACAATTTATTTTTATTCGAAAACATTTTTTTTTTTATTTTTATTCCGAAACATTCTAAGAAAAAAAATCTAACACGAAAAGAACGTGTACTTCGTTCTACTAGATTCCAATGGGCTACAAAACCGCATAGATACTCAGAATCTTTCTAGGAAAACCTATTACGAAATTTGTTGATTTTTTTTTTAATATTGCACAAAATTTGAAACTTGGATTTACACGGGTTTTGTTAGAGGGTGAACTATATTTTTATAAAAAAAATAACCAAAATTAAATAACAACAAAAATAATATGTTAAAACTTGTCAAAATGTGGTGCGGCAATAATTATTTCGACCACTGTATTATATTTATTTGTGCCTTCCAATAACGCCCTCGATATAAGCTTAGAAGAAAACTTACGAACATCTCACATTTGTGTATAGAAAAATTCATTTATTGTAAAAAAGTGTGGATTTAAATCCACTCTTTTAAAAAGAAGACACTTCAAGTATGTAGGCATTCGCTCGTGCTAATCGCCTTCGATCAATAATAGCCACCTGGTTCACAGCTACGAAAAAGAAAATAAAAAATAATAAATTCCAATAATGAAATTTTTAATATTAATTCGTCTTAACAATAATATTGCAGCTGAAAATTTATTATTAACTATATAGTTGCAGCTCAAATTACATTTAAGTATTTACAGTTATTACTACTAATTAGGGAAGCAGGCAGGTCGCTCAAAGCGCGTTGTGGTATCTACTAAAAATTTGTTAAACCAAATTTTAAAATCATAATTGCTTTTGTTGGGGGTTTAGTAGTAGAGCGGCGGCTGGAGGTTGTGCAGCTGCGGTGGTAAACCATATTTGTGT